AGAGGTAATATAGTAAAATGTTATATATTATGTCATTTTCAATAAATTTATATGCTCTTCTTTATTTGTCATTTGTTATATATTCAATTGATTATGGATTTTTATATTGGGTTTATGTTTTTATTTATTACAGGTTAGATGGCTAGTAACGAGGATCACCCACATGATGATGCTATTGATGATAGAGATCATAAGATCGTTATTGGTAAGGAAGCATAAATTAGACTGTGAATAACAGTTATGAAGAAAGTCATTCGTGATAGAGACCGAGGCATAAAATTAGATGCGCATTGGAGCCAAAGTGGCCAATTAATTGAGCCTAACGGTTCAACGGTAACAAGTTTTATTGGTGCACTTGTAAGGAATGAAGTTCCAATTACTTGTGATGATTGGAGAAAACGAGAGTTGAAAGAAGCTAAAGAAAAAATTTGGAGTGAGATACAGGTACCATATTTAATGAAGTTCTAATTTGTTTTTAACGATGATTGTGTCTTTAAATTACTTGTACTAACGCACTCTGTGTATTTTTTTCATAGAGGTATTTCAACAACATTGATGATAATAGAAGAAATTTTTGTCTCCGATTGGCCGGAAAACTACTAAGAGGGTTTATGACTTTTTTAAATATCAAGTTTCTTAGGGATGTGGATAAATTTTTTGTTGATACAGAGCTCCCATCTAAATATGCAAGTTTGGTTTCACCTAAAGAATAGGAAACGTTTAAAGCCAAACGAAAAACCCAAGAATTTCAGAGTGTAAGTGAAACAAATCAGCAAAGAGCATCAAGTCCCGCGTATCCATACAGAAAAAGGCGTATTAGATATGGACGATTAGAACAGTCTATCATAAGTATCTATAAATTACAATAATATACTTGTTCATCACGAATTATATTTGATCATATTATTTGGCTTAATGTGTAGTTAACAAAGGAGAATAGTTCTGAAACATATCTTTTGGCACATGTTTTGTGGAAGGAAGCCCGTGTGGGTAAGGATGGAGTTGTCAAAGAAGATGTTCAAAAAGTTTTTGAGAAATGTGTAAGTATATCATTATTTCTTTAATTAAATCAAAATTTTAGTAACATATAATTAAGATAAATTTTCAATATTCATATGAATTTCAGGAGACTCTATCTCAGTCTATATGTCCAGATGAAGACAATGATTGCAGGAGCATACTTAGTCGAGCATTAGATGTTCGTGAGTATTCTGGTCGGGTGAGGGGTAAGGGATTTGGAATCACTCCAAAATCCTTGAAGATGAAAACACAAAAGACTCCTAGTAATAAAGAACTGCAGTAAACCTTGGAAGTACTACAAACTGAAGTCCGTGAAATAAGAAGAGAAAAATAATTAAGAGAGCAAGCTTCGGATTTTAAAGCTACTAGTGACAAAGGTAGTATCGGTTATAATTTTCAACTGAATCTTCCAGAGTTAATTATATATATCATTATGAAATTAAAGTAGCTTAATTTATTTAATTGAAATATATACACAATAACAATTTAAAATTTATTATTGGTTTTAGAGCATTTCACCTTGTCAACTCTACTTATCATCACCGACTTATCGGATGGCTGGCAAGGGAAAATGCATAACACTTTGGGAGAATTACTTCACACTAAACCGCTCCCTACTGGATGTTTGAAAGTATCAGTTGACATTGCTTTGAAGAAGGTTGCGTTATTACCACATCCTCACGATGTTTCAGATGCCACACTGGTGGGATATGCAATAGGTTTGTTTATTGCATGAACGTCAAGCCTCATTAGTGTAGATGATGAGGTATGCTTAAAACCATATATATGAACTTTGAGTATTCAAAGTTTTTACGCACATTTTACGTGCATTTATTTTTACATGGTTATGTTAATTAGACTCTAACAAAATCCAAAGTAAAAGACAAGGGGATTCTGCGGCAAACCGAGTCAGTTACATCAATAAAAGAGGTACATCACAATTATATGATATTTATGCATGAAAAATGTTAATTCATAATCTTATACTTCACATAACTAATTATATGATCTTTAGATTCATGCTAAAGAGAAAGAAGATGTCGGTAGGGGTAAGAATCCTGAAATTAGCAACATTTCCACACAAAAAAGGTTGTTGCTAAGAAGACCGCGGCTAAAAAAAACCTACTTCCAAATTTAAGTCGTGTCTTGGAACATTTTTAGAAATGCCTAATATTCCGGAAGGAAATACTCGTCTTCTACCTATGGAGTTTGGTATTTTTTATTTTGAATATTCCGAAACAATTGGTATGGAGGATTTTGATCAAGTTTTACAACATACACAATTAGGCATCGGTGTTGTTAATACATACATAAGGTATATCCGATCTAATTTGCCTAATTAATTGATCAATTCATTTACTCATTTCAAATGTTAATGAGGTATTTTACTTAAGGTTTTTGTATGAAAAATTGATGCGCCCGAGTGGATTGGAGAAAAGATTCGCTTTCTTATCTCCTTACAATACCAACTTAGGGTTAATCATGTATAAACCATATGAAGTTATGGCGTATTTACTCGAGCGCTTTATGGCCGACAAAGATACCGAAAAGTTATTCTTTTTACCGCTTAATATCGACAATGTGTTAGATTTTCATTCTAAATTCATCTATTATAATTTTTCATATTTTGACAGTTTTAATTATATTAATAGTGATGATACTTGATAAAACTTAGGCCTTATCCATATTTTCTTTTCATGTGTAGTGTCCTCGGCAGCGTAATGAAGTAGATTGCGGTTTTTACATGTTGAGATTTATGAGAGAAATCCTTCTTTTGGATCGAATAGAGATTCCATCTAAGGTATGAATTTCTAACTTAAGAGTTATTTTAATATTTAACACATATTACTCATATAATTAAATAGTTTTAACTTAAACATATTATGTTAAATTATTATGTAGTACTTTGAAGAATTCAAGTGTGCTTATTACTCAAGTTTTCAGTTGGATGAACTTAAGGAGGATTAGTGTCAATACATTATTGAGACGAAAGTTATATAAGGTATATTGTAATCTTACTTTAATTGATAAGAATTTTGAGTATATTCAAGTGTTGCAATTTTGTTGTTGTTTGTCATGTGGTAAATTATATATATTTTGTTTGTATCATGGTATGAATTACGATATTTGGTGTTGTTTCAGGTTATATGTGCATATGTAGAAGATAGAGATGAATAGATTTTGTAATGGTATATAATGGTGTTGTTTTAGTGTTGTTTTTTTGTAAAAGTATATATGTACAAGAGTAATAGTATATATAAGTACATTAGTGCAAATGTATAGTATTTTTTGGTATTATTTTTTATTTGATTGAAGCTCCAATATTAGTGAAAATCAGGTAAAATTTGTAATGGTATATACAAGTGCAAAATATGGTAAAAACCTGGTGCAAATATGGTTAAAATCTGTGCATATAAAATTGTATATATCAAACCGCGTTTTTTTTTCAAAAAAGTTATATAAAAAATTTTGTGGACATTAGACAGTGCTTTAAAAAATGCTGTCTAAAGCCCCCTTTAGACAGCCCTTTTACTGTAAAAGCGCTGCTCAAGGGGCTCTTTCTTTTTAATTTTTTTTTGTTTCAGAAAAAGTGCTGGCTAAAGAGGGCCTTTAGTAGCGCTTTAAAAAAAGCGCTGCCTAAAGGGGCTTTTTATTATTTATTTATTTTTGTTTCAGAAAAAGCGTTGGCCAAAGGGGGCCTTTAGCAGTGCTTTAAAAGTAAAACTGTTGGCTAAATGGGGTATTTAGCAGTGCTTTAAAAGTAAAAGTGCTGGTTAAAGGGGGTCTTTAGTAGCGCTTTCAAAGTAAAAGGGTTGTCTAAAGGAGGATTTAGCAGCGCTTTTACTTTTAACAAAGCGCTGTCTTTACCTATAGCAGCGCTGGAATAGACAGCGCTTTAAAGCCCTGTCTAAAGCCCAAAAAAACGCTGTCTAAAGTCTTGTTTGATGTAGTGGATAAAATAGCTTAACTATTTTAAAATCTACTGACGAGTTGTAAAAATCACAACTCTCAGGATAATTATAGCTCTAGCATCCATTCATAATTGGCAATCTCATCAGCTCTATGTAAATAATGTTTTTTGCATGGTGAACTTCAAAAAGATGTATACACGTTGTTCTATATGGTGTGTAATCAGCAAAGCTTGACCAGATTTATAAACTTGTCTAATTCTTATATGGTCTGAAACAAGCTAGTAGGCGGTGGTATGAAAGACTCACTTCATTTCTTACTCAATACAACTACAAACAAGCCAACTCAGATGCTTCACTATTCACCAAAAAAAACTTATCAGTGTTTATCATTTTGCTTGTTCATGTAGATGATGTAATTTTAGCATGGAATTCTTTGTTAGAGATGCAGACCATTAAAGATGCATTAAACAATGTTTTTAAAATAAAAAATCTTGACAAGCTAAAGTACTTCTTGGTATAGAAGTTATTCTAAGTATAAAATTTTCTCATGCCAAAGGAAATACTGCTTAGACCTCTCAACATCTTACTATCCAAGTTGATGATGTTAGATATCTACCAATCTTGAAATTATAGGGGGATATTACAAAATGATTAAGTTGCTTGTGACCCAGCAACAAGGATTTAATTACTTGTTAGACAAGGCAATGAGGATATACTTAGAAACATAAGCCAAAGTCAATGATTAACTAACTGTTTGAGTTTGTCAAAACAGTTAGAAAGTCTATTGACACATGTTAAAAATCAGAGCACGGGGATATAAAAAAATGTTAGTGCTACATAGCAAAGAACATAAGTCAAAACCATTAGAAACTAATGAAACAAGAGCAATGAACTTGAGTATGTTTGCAATTAAATCAAATTGATGAATGACACTAATAACAAAGGTATATCAATCATCTACCTAATTTTAAGATAATAGATACAAGAATCAAAACCAATTTCTTACACAAAAATACCAAAAACATTCAGTATACAAAATTTAAATTAATCCAAAGCAAGCAAGCTATATCAACTGTAATAGATAACTGGTTTATTGGAACTCAAATCCCACACGCCTCCTTCTTTGAGGTACTCAATATATCTTGCAAATTCAGGCCTAGCTGTTGTTTTCTTTTTCCTACGAAAATCCAAGAAGTTGAAGAGTGGATGACTCTTCTTGTTACTTTTACTATCAGCCTTCTTTGTGGGGTTTCTTTGTAGGTTTATATCCCTAAAAGTTGAACCTAGACCCATTTTTCTTGAAGAACTTGATGCTTTAGAAGGCATGCTTGTGCTTCGCTTGAACTCCTCATGCAAAAGTACCGTGGATGCTGATTCTTTCCCTAACCTCTCATATCTCCCAGTTCCAAAACCTCTACTCATGGATCTAAACATAATTATATCCTAAACTCTGAATCCTAAACGACGAGATTTTGATTGAAATATAAATGTGTGAAGAAATGAAGAGAAAAGTTTTGGCGAGAATAGATGACAAGTTAAGTTGGAGAAGAATAACATAATGGATGGATTTATATATGCATCTACATGGTCAAGTTTGGCTTGCAAGTAGTTTGTTGGACCTTAGTGGGGTTTTATTTATTTTTAATTCAATAATGTAACACGTTTGAATGTTTAGTATATAGCTTTGTGATTTGAAAACATGACTAATTAGACGAGAGTTATGTTCACTTTTCAATAAATCCTTTGTCACGAAGGTACCATAAAAAAATGATATTTTTCTTTCTTTCTTTTATATATATATCAAAAATGAAAATGACATTTATTTATTTTTGTGGCATGCCAATCTTGATTTTGTGAGTCAAATTGCCACTAAGACCTAACAACTTCTGCCTTTTTAAGTTATTGCCTTCACAATCACATTACACGTTGAAACATTCGAATATGTGAATAATCTAGTATTCATGTAGTCAAATCATTCTTTGAATTTCCCCCAGGGTTTTGCAAGCACAAGATGGTGTGATTGCTGATAGTCTATTTCCAACTACAAACAAAAATAATACACAATCAAGAAAAGTAAACCTTAAATAAAACGTTCTTACCACCTATATATGTGGACTCATCTTTTTTTATACTATATTGTTGGGTTTTATATGTTGTACATATTTGACCCTTTGGTAGATTATACAAAAAAATACAATTATTATCATTCTTTTAAATTAAAAAACTTTTAACATAAAACAAAATGTGGGCTATTTTGTAAATGGTTAACTCTTGTGCAATGTACACTTCAATAAATGTAATATTTCTATATTTAGAAATAATGCAATGAAAAATATAACATTATTGTTTTGGTCCGACTATTCCGAAAGAGTTGTAATTCTTTCAGAATCTTCTCAGCATAGGAGATTATCCTACGGATTTGCACAAATGATCGGAACTTCAGATACATCTAACGATTTCCTATGATCTACACTTAACAAATAACAAATTTATTATTCTCTCTACTACATATAGAGAATGCGCTATTTTTGGTTCCGGAGTAGAACAATGGTGCTGTCTGTGAGAATCGACTTCTGATTCCTAAGTTTTCCACGGTTTCACGAATGATCTCCGGTTCATTAATTTGAAGCCTTCTCAGTTCACTGAATCAAGAACACTCGAAATCGAACATGAAGTGTTGTCGCATTTGATTTGAACAAGCATCGTTTCAACTCTGATTTTCTAAATTTCCAGATCTCTGATCCAAACGCTTTCAAATAATGGCTGGATCTAATGCTTATCGTTCCGTCGTTTGATAAGTACCAAATTGTAGTTATTGTTAGTACTATTTTGTGGCACTTATTATCTTGATTCTTTGTATTAATAAGTCAAAACCTCAACTTTAGTGTAAATAATAGCTTTATAGTTTTATCATGTAAATAGTGTATAGATTAATCATTTTTTATCTTATTTTGTAGGATTCTTTGCAAGGTTGAAGCATTGGGTATCATAGGCAAATAAAGGTTCAAGATGTAATTTTTGGAAGGAAATAATGAGTCTCAGGTCGGACGAAGCGTGGTGCTAGCATGCTTGGATTTTTCTGGAAAGAAGTTAGCAGGCTAAGTCCTAAATTTGGGGCTAAGCGCGAAGCGGGATAAGTCCCAAATTTGAGGCTAAGCGCGCTCTGCAGCATAAGGCAGTTTGGTGCAATAAGTGGAAGTGCACTTAGCGGGCTGTGTCAGGGCTAAGCGCGACCTGCAACTTTGAAGGTGTATAAATAGAGCTCTACTAAGATTTTTTAGAGGTTGACCCAATTTTGAGAGAGGGGTTTCACCATTTTTAGGGTTTCCACCATATTTTAGGGTGATACACCAATTTTGGAGTTTTAGATGCTTAGAAATCAACAAGAAAGGATGCATCTTGAAGATCCGGGAATGGATTCGCGTTGATTGTTAAGACATTAAGGTTGATGCTTGTCCATTATCTCTCTTCTCTTTGTACTTTGCTATGTAAGTAGTTAAAACCCCTTTCTTGTTAGGATTGGAAGAATCTCACCATAGTAGTATATATTTCTTTTAATCTTTATATTGTGAACTTAGTTTTGAATCAATATAGATGTTAATATTTGCTTTCATATGGTTTGACTTGTGTTGAGAAATATATTTTAAACTATGGATATAAGATTACTCATCTATCAATAACCAAACTCTAGACATAGATTTGGGAGTTAATATTCACTTTGTGTAAGATCTTAATGTTTGTGTGTTATTTAATATGTTGAGACATCTTTTATTAATCAATCGGTATAATCGCACAACGCTGCTCTAGACATAGACTATGTTAACGAGTGATACGTGATTATAGAGATGAATAACTTTGTTCACATGCTAAGATTAGGATAATGCATATTGTAATAGGTTTTTATTGATCATGGTGTTATTTGTAATCTTTGTCTAATTTAATAACGAGGGTTCAAATCCTCTATTAGGTGCTAAATTCTAGACATAGCTTTAGGTGTAACATTCACATGGAGTATTGACTCTTAATGCTTCTGTATTGTTTGAGTTACGTGAGACATCACCGATGAGACAATACGATTGATATCTCAACTTTGCGTTAGACATAACCTCTGTTGTGAGCGATACATGATGTTATTGATGAATGCTTAGATTGTATTTAACTAATTGGTAAAATGCATATTCTACGGGCGAATGAAAACCAATCCTGAAAAGTTCTCTTCACTCTGAAACCTTATATTGTTTTACTTTCTTTTTACGTTCTATAATATACATCGTAAAATTTGAAAACCAAGCTCAGAAACATGGAGACTATTGAACAACATTTGATCCCTCACATTAATCCTCGTGGAGACGATACAAGAAGATACTTACTTTTTCTTGTCGCTTTACAACAATAACACCGCTACGTGTGTAGCTGCTGCTGCACCTCAGGAAGCAATCAATCAACCACCTCTACCTCCTGTGCAAGGCATCATAAATACAGGAGCTGAGATTATATTTCATCTAAGTCTTGTTTAGGCTCATCAGATAGTCAGATCTGTCCAAATGTCTCTGACTGGACTTCTGATTTTTCCTTATGTCTCTTAACCTGAAGCATTATCTGGTTTCCAACTACTGCAAGCAAAACTTGGATTGCAAGATGCTAACGGACTGCTGAACAACATATATAATAAAGCTCGGTAGTAGAATTCACAAGCAATAAAGGAAAGGTTGCAGCACCTCCAAGAAAGCCTCCACATTGCTCCTCCGTAAGGAAACACTGTCTAAGAAGTTGTATCAAAGAGGTCTCATGTTGCAATCCTGAAGCCGATTGTGACGAAGAAAGATGAATCTCATAAGTCAAGAAATCAGCATAGGAGCAAGAAGCCTTAGAGTTCTCACCAAAGCCCCAGGGGATATCGAGGCAACTACACTTTTTCCCCAGATCAAGTAGAAAATCACTCGTTGAAGGTTCAGCAGAAGCATCTATTATGCACCAGTATTTTGGAGAGAAAAATACAAAAATCCATGGAGAATTCTCCCAAACTAGGTGAGTATGATGGAAAGAGAGATCTAGGTGAGCACATGCTACTTGTCAATAATTGGATGAACTATTTCAGTACTAACAAAACCTCCAAAAGAATTTTTTGTATTAACCTTGGTCAGGTTGGTCAGGCTTCGTTTCAATGGTTTAATTTTTGTGAATGGTTCTCTGCACACTTTATCTCCCAGAAGAGACAATCAGTGATTGTAACTACTTTGGGCGATATTATTTAGGGGAAGAAGGAAAGTTTGCCGTCTTATAAATACCGGCTTACGCAAGTTGCAGTTGAATTCGAGGGTGCAAAAGAAGGACTTAAGTTTTGGATCTTCGAAAATCGCCTTCTCCATAACCATCCCTTCTGGTTGAAGATAGAAAGGAAGAAGGTGAACCACACAAGAGATATTGAGCATGGATCAGTCTTACACGATCTAGGAGGAAAATTTGAATACTCGATTGGATAATATAACTTCCGGAGAGACCAACTCTAGTCGCTCGACTAGGAAGGAGTCCCACCGGCGTAAGAATGAGTTCAACCTAGGAATGTAAGGACGATACGACAAGTACACTCCTCTGAACACTCCTCGGGAGAAGATCTACTAAGACTGCACCAATACTAAATTTTAAAAGGAAGGAATCTGACCCACTTACCCTATCATAGTCTCATTTCAAACTGAAAAGTCAAAGTGCTATCATTTTCATAAAGGTTAAGGCCATAACATCGACGACTGCATACAACCTAAGGATTTCATTGAAGGGTTGATTAAGAGGGGTCGGATGACCGAATACGTCAAAGGGGAAAATAAGAGAGGGAAAAGATGTCTGAAGGTGAATCTCTCTCAAAGACTATAGACACCGAGACTAGTGGCAAGAGTAAGAAGGCTAACAAAGAGAAGCACATGTTTTTATCCACGGTCACTAGAGGAGCACCCCAGGAAAACCTCCCCTCCAAGGGAACCATGAAGAGGAAAATTACAAAGTTGTTGGCCGTCCATAAAAAGGATGGAGGTACCTCTATAAAGACTCCTGACCATCCTATGTTGGAATTTTGGGACTCATAGAAGGTAAGAAGAGTCCCTAACGAAATTTCCCTTGGTGATCACAGCTACACTCAGACAATTTGATATCTCATGAATCCTGATTGATGGTAATAACTCTTGTGATATTATGTATTTAGAGTTGTTCGAGAAGATGGGCTTGGAAAGATGGAGCTTATGGTCATATGAAGGCTCAGACTTGTAGGAATTCAATGAAATAACCGGCCGTCTATAGGGATACGTTGAGTTGATGATATCAGTAGGAAAATGGAAGGACGTTAGGACATTTAATTCGTAGTTCCTCGTCGTCCCTTGCAGAAGCATCTATAATTGTGTCCTAGGAAGTCATTTTGCAGCCATTCTCAACATCGTAGCCTC